AATCAGACTTTAAATTCAGAGCATTCTCAGGGCTACCTGCACTCCTAAAAGGATTTATTAGCTCTTAGCACCACTAGATAGTTAGCCAAACTGCTTTGGCAGAGTTACTTGAGGAAATGGAGATCTGACGGACAGCTTGCATGGAAGAAAAATAATGGAACGTTTGATAAGTCTAGGTAGGCTAATTACATTTAACAGATGAAGCAACACCTTTGCAAATGATGAGAAGGGTGTGTTAGCTCATATCTAGAGGGAATGTAATTTAGAAATTTCTGGGAAATGAGAGTTTCTGCAGTATCTATCCTATTGTGGCCAATAGGAGACAAGGGTGACTTCCTGAAAGAGCAGAAGCTCGGAAGTAGAATCCAGCAGGTAGTTTCCCTTGAATCCATTTATATATATGTTCTTATTGACTGTCACTGTTTCCTTTAATTTAATCTCTTAAAATGTCATTTATCCTACACCAAAAAGTGCTAGTGAGTAAGGCTCTTAAGGGATCTTTTAATCTCAGGGAAAAAGACATTCTTCAGAGAGACGTTTGGGAAAAGGTTTGCATAAAGAGATACGGTGAACAATGGAAGAAAACCATGTGGGCTGCTAACTGTGGAATCGATGTGGAAACAAGGAAAACAGTTTAATTGATCTATAGCATTTATTACTTGAACTGGTTAAGTTTTTGACTGAAGTACAGAGAGTACAACTCTGAGGCTTGCATTAAAAAAAGTGCATATTTTGAGAAGGAGCATTTATCCTTAATCTGTATGAATATGAATGTGATATCTATGTGCTAAAAATGATATTTTAGCCTGAGACAAATGGGTTAGCTAGCATGTTAGTCTAGTTTTCATTGCAAGCAAACAGCTCATAGATTTTTTTACTAATCAAGCCCATTGGCATTTCTAGATTTTGATATCCTTTCGTTAAGGCAAAGCTCCTGTCTCTCAGTGAGAAGCTAGACCCTTTATTTGCAAACCTTTTATCCTGAAGCAAAAATAAAAGTGGATTCATAAACAGACTTTTATAGCTGTGCTGCGTTAGTTGTGCTGCACCTTGTGCATTTGCATCACTATAGAACCCATGCTTCATACAGCAGAAGAAATGCAGTCTTCAGTGCATAGTAGCTGAAAATGGCAATGGGGAAAGGGAAAAAGACATATTTATCAGTCCCGCTTATTAGATAGTTGCAGTGGAGCAGAGAGGTATTTATCCAAGGTCATATAAAAGGAACCCATGTGGGCTAAAAAGCTTAGCTTGTGTAGGCCATGTGCCTCCTTTTCTTCATTCCAACAAAGAAAATGAAAACCTGTAAACTCATGGCAGAAACAGCTGGACAGAGGATAATCTCTAAGCATCATGCATATTTTCATTGTAAAGTGTTCATTACGGCTTGCATGCAATTCTCTGTGTTAAACCTGTTCATCTGAGGAGTGTGTAAGCAGCATATTTCTGTTTCTTAAACACTCCATAGTTTTGAAAGCCATAAAAGCAGTTTCATTCCAAGGACAGGTTTGCATCATTGCTTGCTAGGAATGTTTCTTATCTGAGTATCTGGGCATTGTTTTGTCTCACTGGGTGTTTGAGAAAAAAGGGATAGGGTAAGAGTAAATGGAAATAAATTTTTATGTGTCGGAATGCTGGCTAAGCTTGAGTTCAGTGAGAACTGCTGAATAAAAGTCAGATACTGCAAGCTCCATGCAACCAGTTCATTACCAACACACAGATTAAACAATATCTTGTCATCACAGTATGAGTTCAAAAGCAAACAGAAATCTGAACTAAAGTAGCACTAAAATAAGCAGTTCAAGCCTTCAGGTATGCAGCAGGAAAGAGGCATAACTTGATCAGCAAATGAAGTCAAGATAAAAGAGGGAAATCACTATTTTTCTGTCATTTCTGCTTCATCAGAAATGACAGTTTCCAAGGATAATGAGGGATAGACTTGCTTTCCTAATAGTCCTGGATGATGCACCTGAAAAGGCCAGCAGAAAATGAGTCATGCTGCTTTGTCACATTGTTGGAGCTTACAGGATGAATCCACAAGGTCACAAAATAATTTGGGAAAACTTTATAAACAACCTTTTGAGACACAATTTACCTTTAAGACACAAACGCTGATGCAACTGATTTCCAAAACACTAATGACAACCTCAAAACTGACATGGAAAGGTGTTAATTTTCATAGAAAGGTTCTGAAAAGTAATAGATATCATTATTTCCATTTGAGCACCAATTTTAGACTAAGATTGGACCATTAAAGAACTGCAAGATATAAAACTGTTTAAAAAAGCCTGGGTCTGTTTTAGCTTTCTGTTAGAGCTGGAGATCTGGGACAAAATTATTCAGGAATAAATCATGAGGCTAGGCTAGGATGGCTTTGAAGTTACCTGTGCCATAGTATAAATATATATTTATCTGCTCTAAGTAAATATTTGTAGATCCATAACTATAGATGGGTTTTCTTGTGCTAATGTATTTTATGACTAATCCTGATAATACAACACACACAAAACCTGTTGTTGTGGGTTTTGTTTTCTTTGTTTGTTTATTTTTCTGTGTGCCATCCAATAAATGTTTGCTTTTTAGAGTTAGATTCTGGTATCTTAAAATACCAAATAATTACCTGGGCATTTCTCTGGTTCTATCTACAAATCTAAGTGGTATTTAAATCAAGACTCTACAGAAACACTTCCACTCCTTGCTCAATCCTATCCTCCTCAGATGAAAGGATGAAACTAAATACCCCCGTGAGCAGCTAAGCTGGCACTGCTGGTGCATTAAATAAATACGGTCCATTGCAGCAGCTATTGCCCATCTTTTTCTGCCTTTTTCCTCCATCAGCAGAAGCTGCAGGCTGAATGTGTCGCTTCTGTCCCTGCAGCTTCTGCAGCTCAGGTAAACACTCATTTTTCTACTAGTAAAGCCAGGCTGGTAGACCAAAGCATCATCATTTGCAATGGTCTCTGAAAGCAGTAAGTGCACAGCTTCTTCTGGCCCTAGGAGAACAGTGCCACATGAATGGGACTGCCAAGAATACAGCTTCTGTCATGAACAGGAGAAAAATGAAGTCTACATCAAAATGAGCCGAGACTCGAAATGGAAGTCAATTTGCCTTACTGTGGCTTGGAACAGAAGCAGAAGCAAATCAACAAAATTGATTCTTTTTAGAACTTTTATGAACTGTAGACAAAAAAATTTTTCATTTGTACCAAAGTTCTCTGCCAGTTCTTCCGTTTGTTCACAGCCTGTCCACGTGACAAAGAAATCTGTATTACTTGTGGCAAAACTCTTTCCTCTTTTTTTTTTTCTTTTTTTTTTTTTCTAAATTTAAAATAGTAGTGCTATCAAAAGATTTTTACAAAAGTAATAAAAGAATAATGAAAAAAAAAATAGCCAATAATCACATTGGTTAAAGTGAAGTTTCTCATAATCTGAAAGACACCATTATTTTTTCATGGAGTGAAAAAAAAAAACTAGAAGCAATAACACCTTACAGTGGTCAGCTAGCAGTGAAAAACTTGCCACTTCCTGAAATGCATCTCATCTCCTTAATTGGGTGCTTTATGAACCTAATTTAGACTCAGCTGTGAAATATATATACTAGCATTTGTTTCTGCAGTAGACATGGATGCATGTTAAATGGGATCACAATTGCATAAGACTTCATTAGAAGTGAGGAAGGTTAGTGCACGTCTTTGTGATGGAAAGTGATCCTGGTTTACACTGCAAGCAAATTGAAATTATTGGTATAATATAAAAAGCAAATAGATCACTAGTTAGAATTTTTTGTTTGTTTGTTTGTTTTTTCCTCCCAAGATGTTTACTAATATTTGGAATGATTTAAAATCTGCTATTATGACACTTAAATGCAATTCTTTCCATGTGGAAATAATTTGTTGGCTTTAGAATATATCCCTTGGTATTCCCAGCTGCAGCCATGATGTTATACTACTGTAGATAGTGGAGTCAGCTGCAGAAATATTTTCAATGTTTATTTCCACTGTTATTCTCTTGACTGGGAAGGAAACAATGATGAAATACTCCACTGAAATATTTGGAATTTGCTTGGTTCTCAGATGTGATTAGTACTGAGCTGCTTATAATCTGTTCACAAGTTCTGCATTTGGGAAGAAAGCAGTTGAGAGTGACTGTTCCAAGTGAGGATGCTTGTGAATGGACTTCTAGATATGTTGCACCCACTCTCCATCTTTGCTTTCTAAACATACGCATGACTACCGCATAATTATGCTCTAGTTATGTTCAAAGACTGAGTAGTAAAACTTGGTTATGTTATATGTTTTTGGTACAGTCAAGCATGTTATTTGCTTCAGATTAATGGATATTGCTGATAAATTGGAAGCACTTTGTCCTGTTTTGGAAAATCTATGCTGTGTCAACTGTATTCTGACTACTGACTGACCAGTGTTCCTTAGACAATGAGAACTCTATGGACAAAATTTGATACATCTTCAAAGCTCCTGAGAATATCATAAGTTTGGAGACCATCAGCATATTGATAATACCAGTTAGGCATATTTTATGCCACGTGAACCTTTCAGATTTGAGAAATATCCAAATGATAATGAATTGGAGGCAGAAGACTATCACTTCATTTACTCAAAAGAATTGCTGATATGATGGAAGAGGATTATTTTTTATGCAACAATTCTATCTTGCCTTCTCTGCTAGAAGAGACTTTCTGAAAGCTTGGGAAACATATTAAGTGAACGTTAAAGGAGTTTATTTTATTACACTTGCATTATTTTGTAGATCTGCAAATACTGATCTAACATACCTTTATCTGCTGACAGTCCAGTAAAAATTCACTGTGATGCAATTTCAGTACTCAATTACTGTAATCAGTTTATGCTTGGTTATTGTTGAGGCTGATACAGGTGCAACTAACTTCATTCATTGCATCACTCACTGGCTCAGCTACAGCCACTAATAAGCCCTTTTCTGAGCCATCTGTAACCAGCTCTTATCTAAATTGGGGCAACTTTTGACATCCTGACAGAGGCCACATATCCACATATCCGCTCCCTGCTACAAAAACCTTGCCTAAAATGAAGTGTATCTATTTCACACTACTTCTCAGATGTTTCAGGTGAGAATTTAACCACAAATTCTTTCAAAAAGCAATTAAAAAAAAAAAATCCTCTAAAACCAAATGTGTTTTCAAGAGTAGCAAATCTTTCTCCATTAAGCCATGTCAACTCTTATCTCAAATATATTTCTGAGTTTGTCGCTTTCCATTTTTGTCCTAGTGCTACTGAATTAACCTTCTATACACACTATGATCTCAAAATCAAGCAGCTCTTAAGACCTTGAAGGTGAAACTGAATGAAGTGATTTTTTTTTTTTTTTTTTTTTTTTTTTTTTTTTCAGTTGGTTGGTTAAGAAGGGAAATGGATGGTGTAAAATAGAAAAGTTGGGCATAGCTGGCAACTGTGTCATTTTTATTGTAGAAATATCTGTAATGGAAAATAAGTTGTTCTTTCCTCGGTAAGCTCTCATGTCTGGGACATTCACCAATACTTAGAATTAATCTAGCAGTTGCTAGTCCTGGTTTTTTTTGTTTTGTTTTGTTTTGTTTTGCATGTGTCTTGTGCTTAAATTTTTGACTGAGTATAAAAATGGAAAATTAGTCCCTGAAGTTCTGCCGTATCTTCCAACATTCTCTCTGCAGCTACTATTTGCTACAACTGCCTTAAGGAATGACCATCTAAATCTCTTACTGATTTAAAAGCAAATGTTGTGTTTGTGATAGAAATTCAAAATGTACCCATTACTGTTGTATCTCTGAGTCTTTAATGAAGTCATCTTCATGTTACTTTGTCAATTAAGGTACCATATGGAAGACCTTATAAGGGAGCTGGCAATGGTTGACTGCCTGTACCACACACAATATAAATGAATATTGCTAAAAGTAACCAAAACAAACAAACAAAAAAATTTTAGCCCTCAGCTAAAGACCATTTGGGAAGATCAGTAGCTTTGTGTTTGTTTTTATTTCTATTTGAAGTTTGGATAGCCATGAACTGCCGGAATTGGACCTGTATCTGTTTGATTTATGTCATTTTTTTTTTCATTCCCCTTTCTCTTCCACTCTGCAATTGGAGCTTGACGCTCAACTTCAAGCAAACTTTTATTGGGGAATTTAGCTCATGGTTATAACCATGAGAACAAAAGCATATAACTTGGTGTCATAAGAAGTAAAAGTTATCTGCTAAGTGGGAAAGCAAATGGACAGTGAATTCTGTTCTCAAATTTTGATCTTTTAACATGCATATATTTTACACTCATGCTTTCTATGGATTAGCTCATCCAGTCCATCCAGACGGTCATTTTGGACCCAAGGAGATAGTCCAAGTACTCCAAACACCAAACACACCTGGGTGTTGGCTGGTCTGGCCCCCGGCTGCTGTGATGCCACTTTGGGCTGCACTTTCAACATAGTGTTGGATGTTCCTGTAAGGAGTTTCCCCATAGGTAGACTGTTTCACTATTTACTCCTTTCTAAATTAGATTGTCATGATAAGCTGTCAATGGCCATGCTTAGCCCTGGGCCAGTCTCTGTTTTTTCACAGTATTTAAAGCCAGAAAGTGACCTGCATAGTTCAGTATCAGAACAAAAAGGTTTTTAGCAAAAAGGAAAAAGCCAGCAACAACAAAACCAGAAGCAGTTAAGATAACATAAGCTAAGGATTGCTAAACTGAAGCATTCTTTATAACATTTACCATGCATTTTGTCACCACAGTATACTGTAAATATCATAGTTGCTGCTTGTTACTGTAATTTTTCAAGAACTTGGCATATGCTATTAATCTTGTTCTATTAGTGCTTTTAATGCTATTAAACTTAGACTCATGCAGTATTTTATTTTCATGATGCACATACTTACAGAATCAAGTAGCTATTTCACTGTATGCTTACGTGTACTTTGATGTTATGTTAGTATTTGGGAGCACTTACTTTCGATCTGTATGAATAGGTAATACTGGCAACATGCCTCTCTGAGATCAGTCCACACTGATTTAGCAGCTCATTAATGGAACTTTCAATCTTTTCTCCCTCAAGGATGTTGATACCATGGATGGAGGTAAGAGATCCCATGCTTTTATCAGTCAGTACAATTTCTAGTGCCCCTTGTGATTGTAACCATTTGTTCTTCTTGAATACAGATATTGTGTTTTATATGTCATGAACCATGAAAAGTACCTGTAGTCATCCAAAATAGTCAATGACCTTTCTGTGAGCTATTTAGTACAAGACTAAATTTTTAGTTATTTAAAACCCAGAAATGGAGCAAATTCGAATCATTTTTGCTCTTGTTATTTCAAGCTAAATGTGATTGGAGTGATTTTGGGTCACAAAATCCAGAAAAGCAAGCTGAGCATATATTATCCTAAAGTTACACTTGAAATATAATTTTTAATTTGTATCTGGTATTTAGTTGTATGCTAACATGTGCTTACTCAGAGGAGAGGAAAAGCCAGGCAGAAAGGCAGGATTGTGGAAGGAGAAACAAGACTTACAGTTGCAACCATTTGTGTTGGTGACAATCAAGTAACAGTCTAGTAACTTCCAGACATAGGTTGCAGAGGTTAATAACTTCAATGAGTACAGTTTAATAATTTAAAAATTCTTCTAATGCACCCTCTTTATTTGCATGCAAATTACAACAGATGCAAAGAGCACAATAACACTATTTGATAGAGCAACATAACCACTGCTACACACTTTCACCAGCAATGAAAGAGAGCTTGCATGCCATGCTCGTCAGTATCTGCACCAATGGAGGTGACCAACTGTCACCTTCCCACTGCTGAAATGCACCACCCACCACCACACTGTGCTCACATCCACTGTTTGGTCTCCATAAACATTTGTCAAATGTTGATACATGTCAGTGTGTGCCATTTTTCCACGCGGAGGAATTCAGTGACACATATTTGCTTCATACACACTTCCATGTCAGATGCTGTTTTGTCAGACTGCCCCTCTGCCACCATCTGTCACGTGGCAACAAAATGTAATGGGATACTGGCAGGAATAACATACAGAATATGGCAGAATACTGCAATACCACCACTACTTGCCTCTAATGGTGTGGGCCAACATCATAAAATAGGAACCATTGCTTTTGGAGCAGCCATTGTACTTTCATAGCTTTCTTAACACATATTTGAAAGCTCGTGCATAACCAGTGAAATAAAGAACAGCTTATGAAGTGCATTTCTGTAAGTTGCCAACTAACTTAAAATTTCTGCCTCTTTATGTGGAAAATTAATGAGTTAAGTATTATCATTCACAGAAGACATAGCAAGGTATATACAATAGCATTAATTCTATTCAAACTAGCTGAGTAGGCTCAGATTTCTCTAGGTATTCTGTGGTCAACCTAAGATTTGTGTCTTTATTTTTCTCCTTTTCTTAGGGGAGACTACTAGCAGCTAATTCATGAGACAGATAAATGGATGGACTCATCAAGCCTAGTAAATAAGACTAGCCCTTCTTTATAGCAGCAGAGGAACCTTTCCTCAAAGGTAGCACAGAAACAGTGCCGTCTTTAAAAAGGCATTTAAATGCACAGTCTTGCTGTTGATGTTACACTATGATTTAATATTTTTAGTATGGCATTAAAAGAGTATCAGAAGATCTCAGGAGTACTGTTCTGTCTTCTGGTAAATACAGGTCTTTAAAGTGTGGGCTTTTATAAAGATTTGTGGAGCAAATTGGTCACAATATTAACCATTATATCTAAGGTGAATGTTGGTAGGACTTTGAATCAGAAAGTAGGGGTTATGGATTTTCATGCCCTGTGATGACAAGAGATGGCACACACAGCAACAATGTCCTTTCTATCCTAGCTTTTTGCAATCCTTGAATTCCTGCAGTGAGTCGTTAGTGCTTACCACATCTTTTTCTCCATTCCAGTATCTGGTCAGTCTCCAAATACACAAAACTCATCTCATGAAGCAGAAGGTTACTTCTGTAAGAAAATCATTACGTATCACTGAGATTCTAGACTTCATGGTAGATTGGGCACAGGAGAAGGAAGAATCCAGTTGTAATACTCACATTGGCTGAAGTGTACCCACACTCCTGAGCAGCTGTATCACTGTGTACTGGCTTGCACGGCAAATAAAAATCTGCAACACTGCAATAGTAAATTTCAGTACTCGCTTTTGTGTATAACACAAAAATTTGGCATGAGAGCCCAAACTTCAGCTCAACCTGAAGTAATGACCACGGCCAGGACACAGTATATTCTATAGTTCTATAGCTGCAGTTTTGGGAGGGGCTGTGTAGTGTGGAGGGGTTTCTTGCTGGATTATGCTGTCTAAGGAAACACTATTTGCAGTTTTCTTCTGCTTCCTGCTGAAAGGGTGCAAAGGATCCTAAGTATTGTGCTTTATTTAATTTTCTGATTAATTGAAAGAGACAAACAGCTTTATTCTAAACCCTCCTACAACCCATTTCCATTAATATACATCCAGCACCACCCCATCAACATCCAGATTCTCTTTCTAATTATTTGTAAATTTAATTGAAAGCTGATTGTACTTATCAATGTATTTGTTAGAGTTTATGTAATTCAGATGAATAGCTGCATTCACTTGCACAGGAACCGAACTAGCCTGTAATTTTGATAGAAAAATCTATCAGATAGAAACACTATCACTGTAAATAACTGTGAAAGCCACAAATAAAAACTGCATAGTTCCAAAAGATTACAGTTTTGAAGTAAAAGTCACAAATCTATTTGGTCACGTTTGGTTTAGGACTAAAGAAGACAGTGAAAAGAAATACAGCAATGAAGCATTAGTATCTTAGAATTTAAAAGTGAAAGCATGCTTTTACTATCACTATTAAATATTTCTTTCCCTGCACAATGCAGCATTATTGGGCATGTATATTTAAAATCCAAATGTCATGAGCACAGGCTGGGTTGATGCTTTTGACAGGATAAAAGTGCTTCAGCCTATTAAAATTGTCACAGTGAGTGTATGAGTGAGGAGACACAAATCTGTAGTTTAGAATACAAGCAGAAAGTGTTCCTCTAAAGGTGTAATCAGAGACTTATCCAGCTGGCTTAGCCAAGAATATCTTTCATCTCCTGATCACTGTGCACCATGTTTTATTCAGGTCACACTTGCACAGAACTTTCACGGTGTTCTCCTATTTTCTGAGATAATTTACTTTCATCTTGATCTCGAGTAACTGCCCAGAGCTGGTTTCGCTCATCTGTAACACAGAAGATATTACATCAGTGCTAAAAGTGCTTATGCAATACGAACGCTTTGGAAATACCATCAGAAAGTATACATGCATGGGAGTATTAATACATTAATTTCGAGCTGCTGAAGCAACCTATCTGAGCTTTGAGGTTTTTATAGCAAGGGTAAGTTCTGCTTACTTGCTAGAAAATTCTCATATGCATACAAATAAGACGGGGCTAAGCTATACTGCAGAAGATATATCATTATTTTACAGTTACATTAAATTAAAGTGAAGAGATGAGTGGTAAGACATATTTTTATGATGTCAAGTTTCTGCTATAGATTTTTTCTCTTTTGCCTTTACTGGACTTGTTCATTCCTGCTTCCATCATCTTTCTTCCTCACTGCCCACATTCAAGCTTATTTTATTTCTCAGAAGAAAAAGTTGCTACTTCTGTCTTTCTAATTTACATCTATTTTAGGCCTTATTAGTGGAGTCTTTATATTCAGTGATTCTTCATAGATTGTGACTTTCTTGGACTTAGATTTTCTCTTTATTTCTAAGAATGGAAGAGTTGGGGTTATAATCATGAATGTTGCTCCTGGCAGTCGTTAGGAGGAGAAAATGGAATCTCAGGTTTTTAACACACAAAGTTTGCTACAGTTCTACATAATTCTTGCTCCTGAAATTCAAAAGGGAGAAAGACCACCCACAACTAATGTAAGAGAGTTTCAGATTTAAAAGAACTTTCATTTATATAATTTTAATACATTTTGCCACATAGAAAAGGAGCTCTTGTTCCTTATTATTTCCCCATAATTTTAGAATTTTTAGCAAGTTTTCTCTCCATCACAAAAGTCTTGGAACAAGATTTTTCATAAAGAATATTTCCTTGGACATAGTTAAAAAGTATTCAGCTATAAGATAGATAATTCCTCTTAAATGTAGAATAGTGAATTCATTTCCAGGAGTGCAAATAAATGCGCATTCAAACAAGCCCTGTATGACACCATTGTAGCATATTAGGAACAAGTATTTCCCTAAGAACCCTTTCAGAGAAAAAGATCTCACACATTGTTTTGTCTCGAGGGCAGTAAGAGATAACAGCTTGGAAGTGAAAACAGAATTTTGTAATAGCTGAAGAGATTCTGAGCAATAGATGGGCTGCTGTTCTACAGAATTACATATGCAAAATAAGCCACAAATAAAAGAAAGCAATAACTATTGCAGTAAGCCATTGAGTATTATTTTTTTTTTGGTAAAACTGTTGAAGGGGAAAGGCATGGGCAAGAGATGAGATATATTACATATATATCAATAATATATCAATATATAGAGATTTGCAACTAATAAATTGAACATTTGCCTTTGAGTTAGTTGCATTCCCTGTCCTATTCCCATGGATTAAACTAAAGTTTGCAGACACTGTTCTGATAATGGCACTACTGAGTTTAGTAGCACTATTCTAATAGCAAACTTTGATTCACATATAAATAAAGGAGCAGCAGCTGTATCCCATCCATTCTTTGTACCTTAGGAAAGTAATGACTGCAGGCTTGCAAGGAGGAACTTGACTACACTTTTCAATCACTCTGGAGTTTTCTTCTGATGATTTCAGAACAAAAACCTTCTACTTCTGTACGCTAATTACACAAACCTCAGCCTCAGTCTAGCCGTACTTAGTATTAGAAATTTTAATGGCTGAATTTGTGGCCTACCACAGAGTTCATTACTACATTTATATTCTAGAAGGCATCACTCAAAGGAAACAGTGTCAGCCAGAATCTAATTCCCAAATATTTTTTAATATGTCTGAATTCAGTGTGTATCTTATTCATGTTATGCCTTACGTTTTGATGTGGATTTGTCAAGCCAGCATGCATGCAGGCAAATTTATACACGTACTCTAATCAGACTTCCTACCCCTTCAGGAGCTTTGAAAAGATGTAGCCTTTTTATCCCATTTTTATTCATTGATCCATTCATCCTTGAAGCAAAAGACATATTATATTTCATATCTTCAGCCACAAGGACCTCCAGCCTCACTGAGGAATTTTCTAAACCACTGACTCTAATTTCCATATTCTGGGGAGAACAGTAGAATGCATTAGATTAATATCTGAACTTAGTAAAGCATTTGATACCATTGCTCACAAGAATTATTCATGGAAATAATCTATCTTGGCTTGGCTATGACCCTTTGGAGGAGTTTATACTTAAGCATGCTTAAATGTAAATGTCTATGAGGAAGCAGTTGATCGAGGGAGCAATCATGTCAACCCCAGACCTCGAAAATAAAGTTAATGTCACTTATCCTACTCAAGGGATCAAGTACATAAGTTTAGAGGCAATATAGTGTTTGAAAAGTGCTTTGTTATTAATGCCTAGAAGATTCTGGCTGACATTCTGATTTTTAATAGTCACAGTTTTAGGCTTACTTGCATATAAATACAAGCTTACTTAATTTCCCCCGGAGGACACTAGGTGCATTTAATCAATTAAAAGAATAATTTATAAACCATTAAGAATGCTCTGCCAACAATTGGCAGCACTCAGTCAATTCCCAGAATGAAATAATGCTGCTGTGGTGTCACTAGCAAAAAGAAAATGCCATCCATACCTCTTCCATTGTAATTCCAGAGAAAGAAAGACCAACAGACACTATAGCGATGGGTAGAGTTGAAGTGAAGTACAAAGGTGAAGTACAAATGCCTTGGAACTGTAAAGGGGAGGAAGATTTGTGATAAGTGACAATTTTTATGCAAACATGAGAACTTAATGTTACTAAGGAGTTTACCATGTCTTGGCAGAAAATGGGACTCAATTCAAACTCAAATTCATTTAGACCTCAAGGTGATAGGTGGATGGTTGGCCTGGATGATCTTGTAGGTCTTTTCCAATGTTGGTGATTCTATGATTCCATGATTCTATGCTGGAGATAGTATATAACATCACTTCTATTGAGAGAGAATCACCATGACTGTATCTCCTTGACTACAGGTGAAAATAGTCTCCCTTACACTCTAATGAGTTCTTGCAGAGGTTATTTCTGGCTACTATTTCTTACTGTTTCTTACTGTTTTTACTTCTGTGTTCCAAGCCAGTTCAGGGATAGAAGCTCCTGTCATCTCCTGACAAGCTATGAAAGAATGGCAAGTTGTTTCATTCAGGGAGTTCATCTGGGAAATACTGTATGCCACACTGGAATAGCAGTCTTGGAGCCTGCCTGGTTGTTGTGCTTGGATATTTGGGTAGTGGTTGGACACAGTAACACTTTCAGAACAAGTCACCTACTGAGCAAAGGTATTACTGAGAATCAGGAAAACAGAAATTAGTGTGTCTTGCTGTTGTTATTGTTGTAGAGAGAGGCAAGGTAAACTTCATTCCAACTCTCAATTAAAAAGCACTCAGAATAGATGCATTTATCTAATTTATATCCACTTGCTTATATTTAATTTACTTGTAGAAATAAGGATGATAAACAGGCATTCATGCACATTAGTTTGGACACTTTAAGGGCTTTCACATTTCCAAAAATCTACACTAAATATCTCCTGTAATGCAGCAACTGACAACAAAAGCTGGGGATCTTGAGGTTTCTTTAAGTGAAGCCTGAGCATGAATTTGCCTGGTATTGACAAAGTTTGATGCTTTCTAACATATACGTTTGAGTGTTTGACACAAATTTTATTCCTTGAAAATGACTGCAGCTA